GCAAAGGGACACATTTCTGTTTAGCCAAAGTGAGCAGAGATGCCTCGTACTTGTGTGAACAGTGCACTTAACCATAGTGGTTATACTGCGCTTTTGTGATGCAAAAGTCACTTCACCACAAACATAGCAGAAGTTATCTGCACTGTTCACACAAGTACGAGGCATCTTTGCTCACTTTGGCTAAACAGAAATGTGTCCCTTTGCAAAATCAAACACTGACAAATAAGAGAGCACGACACTGTATGATTTCTAGAGCTGATATAGGGAAATTTGTTCAGCAGGGTGATGTAAGCTTTATTATGATTGCATCATCCATGACTTCTAGGAATAACATGATGCAATTCATATCACGTATGACGCAATACTAGCTTCAGATTGCACCATTCATTGTTTTGCCTAAAAAGCAAGTACTGTCCAAACCCAGTCATAGATTTATTCATAGATCCAGTCAAAGATGTATTTTAGTCATTTCTGGTTTAAATTGAGATCCCTTCCCTTTATAACTCACTTATCCTCCACCATTCCCAAGTCAAGGGTCGTATATACTGACCCAAAAGCATATCTTGAAAACGAGAGCCAATCAACAATTTTAAGCATAATTTTCGTTCTCAGTGACCCAGAATTAGTAAAGTTTGACTACATTTATTTCAGAAGTATTTTGGCTGTAGAGCAGTGATATTATCATCTATCACTTATAGACAGGCCACTGCACTGTTGTGCAGTGGCCTGTCCTCTAAATCAATGGTTTTCAACCTGTGGTCTGTGGCCCCCACTATGTTTAAGATTTCCAAAGAGGTCCCTACCTCCATTTAACATTTTTTATGAGTCTCCAAATGAAAAAAGGTTGAAAACCACCGCTCTAAATTGTCCGGTAATGAAAATCCAATTTAGCCTGTTACATAAAATTATTTCTCTGTCAGCAAAAGTTAGAAAAATAAGACTGGATTAGTCAAAAAAGAAGCTATCTATTGATACCACCCAAGGACTGCATAAGGATCATAACTGGCAAACAAATGGAGAATGGAATCAGAAATTAATGTGTCACAACATTAGGCCTAATTGGATGACAAAGTAACAAGGGTATGGGCTAATTCCACCCATCACGCCCTTTTGGGTGGACTTTGAGAATTAAAATGGCAGTGGACTCCTGGGAAAAGGCAGGCAGGCCTCTGTCCCACCCCAGAGACTGTGTCCTTCATTGGGGACCCTCAGTCAATGACACCCAGACCTGCACACAAGTGGTGACACCCTGTTATCACTAATGGACCAGGAAGGACCCCAGTCTGATGCATGCAAGATCCTGCTGTTTTCCCTTCCCTCATGTTCCTTTCCACCCACCTCTATCTTACTCCTGTCCCCCCCCCACCTTGGTTTTTCACCTGATCCTGAGACCAACTACATTGCACAGCACCAGTATAATGGGATGAGACAGCTCATCCAGCTCTGCCCAGCCTGAGAAGGACCAGTAAAGGAGAGGTACTTGACTAGGCCGCCCCGATGGGAATCCCAGACCAGGGAAGTGAGCCAGGGTTTAGAGAAACAGCTGTAGAGGCTGATCTGACAGCCCAAAGTATCCATCTGTGACTGAGATCAACAAAAGCCATTCTGTATTTCCCCTGTTTTGCTATTCTATCTTCTCCCCTTTTGACTGTCTTGTTAAAAACAGGAAAAGTATGACCACTCAGAGCAGTCCTCTTGAAATTCAACAAGACTAACCACTTCTTCCCCACTAAAAAGGATTGCTTGACAGAATAAGAAACTAATAATTATTCTCTGTCTGAAAAAGGGCCTTTAATAGGTTTTAAGTGTTTTGCGTAACCACTCAATTTCAATATGCTTTGTTTTGTTTTTTATTTTTTCCCCTCTTGTGTATCCAATAATTTTCCAAACATATGTATTAATTTTTGAATGTGCTTGCCATGAAACGGTCAATTTTCCTGTACTCCAAACCCCAAATCATGTTTAACTGTTTAATGGTGTACAGTGCTAAGATCATACTATCATCTTTGACTCTAGACCCATTTATTCCACTGAAATTAATACAACATATCCCAGGCCTGTTCCTGCTCGTTCACATTAGCTCCCATCTTAGAAGCAGTCTTAATAATGTCACAATGACTCTAATGAAATAAAACTTAATTATACATAAAGGCAAAGAGTTTGATCTTGACTGCAAAACAGTCTGATTTCTCCATACACCATCTTCACCCCACTAAGTCCCTTCAATGAAGTATTCATATAGAAAAAGGGTAATGAGGTAGTACACATGATATGTAACAGCATTAGAGAGACTACTGTAATGGAACTATGAGAATGAATGTAGCCAAAAGCTACCAGATAGATGCACTGTGCATGGATGGGATGTAGAAAGGGGAGAAAGAGCCAAGAATCACAGTTTGGATGTTCTGAAATGAGAAAAAAAAATGGAGCTATAAAAGATTAAGAAATCAGCCATGGTGTTTAATATGGAGATATACCTATCTCCTAGAACTGGAAGGGACCTTGAAAGATCATTGAGTCCAGTCTCCTGCCTTCACAACAGGAGCAAGTACTGTACCTGACAGATTTTTGCCCCAGATCCCTAAATGGCTCCCTCAAGGATTGGGCTCACAACCCTGGGTTTAGCAGGCCAATGCTCAAACCACCGAGCTATCCCTCCCCTCTAAAATACTCCTGTTTGCAGTGTAATATTTCCAAAGGCCTACACTATTGCACATTTCCTAGCAACAGGGGCTTAGGAGGTGGAGGAGGAAACATCTGCCCTTAAACAAGTCATCACTAATATGGCATTCAACAGCTGACCACAAATCTATTTCAGACATAGGTTTCACCCTGCCAAGGTTCAAATATACAAACAAGACCCAGAATGAGGGACACAACAATACATGAGGGAGCGGGATATGTGGATTTAATTTCTTTATAATGTAAAAAGTACTCCTTAATCTCAGTTCAAGACACAATCTTCTGATGACTTATTACAGTGCTCCTAATGAAGGGGGTGAATTTCCATAATTTTAAGAACCAGGGCCTTGGTGGAAAGACATGCCAAATTTTGTATTTGACTTTCTATATTTAAACAGAACATACAAGATTAACACTGATTAGAATTGCATATAAAATGTCCCTCATTCATTCTATATGGCTATTAATTGTTTAGGGAGATCCAAGTGCTCAGCAGAGATTTATTATGATAGCACAAGTACTTTTGGAGATTTCTTTCTCCCCCAAAATTTGAGCTGTATGTTAAAGCAGCTATGAGAATCTTCTTGATGAGTGCTAGAATTGTGACATCAGAGGTAACAGCCAATCATACATTTGACTAGTTTATATATATAATGTTCTACTAGTTAAAAGACTGCAATCATTTCCTTTTTAACTTCTCTCGCTTTATGCTATTTGTAGCTATTGTACCTTCTGACATCAGAGTCATAGGAGATGGCTTATTAGATGCAATGGAATTTTGTTACAGAACATAAAATATGTAAAATACAGACATATCTATATACATACTTACATACATAAATAAAGAGCTGTATAGATACAAGCAAAGATTTACAGGCATCACTGAGCAGTGGGGTTGACATTAATTACAGTATGTTCAAGAGGAAAAGCAGGAAGAAGTTTATTCAGGTATGTCCAAAATCACCTTAGAAGTAAAAATAAATGCCATATGTGATAACACAGCAACTTGCTATGTGAGAGATTCTCCCCTTCCATGTAATTTTAATTCCTGAGTTACAGCTTCAACACATCTGACAATCTCAGTATTTGGGGATTTATTTATTTTTAAATCTCAACATTAGCTAAAAATCATTAACTGTGCATTGACAGTCACAGCTCAGCAAGTCTTGTATTGTAAATGTTGCCAGAAGAGACTGCACTTGTATCAAGGAATTTAATTGTCATCATGCCAATGTAAACTATACAACAATGATAATGCCCAACACCTCTGACCTTTCTGGATTCTATTTTCAAGATTAATCCTGGAACACAGAGGAATGACATCCTGAGGTCCAAATTTTTTTCTAGGTTTTCTACAGAACCTGTAATCAATCCTGACCACAAATTTTTAACACACTTAATTCATTACAAAGGAGTTAAAACTGTATAATAAATTACAAGTGTAGAGATAGATTACTTACAATGTACAGTCTGGAAAACAAAATATTGAACACCAAACCAGTGGTTCGTTTAAAAATGAATATTTAGAGTTAACACCAGATTTCTTAAGAAGGTTCTTTAAGAGAGTTATAAGCCAAAACAGCCGTTTGTTGTAAAAATATCCATGTTTCTCAAGTCTGAGTAGTTATGCTTTTAAAAGTTTAAAGCAATGAATATGTTAATTCTTGATATTACAATAAATTTGCTCTAACCACATGCAGCATAATACTCTTGCAGTAAACTAGTGAGTTTACTATTAGAATAGCTGATTAGGTGCCTCACTTTACACAGACTTGTCTCATATTGGTACAAATATTTCTTTGACATATTTTGTCCCGTTTCAGAGTTATTAACTCCCATACACAATAGAGAAGGAAGCCGTCCAAAGGAGAGAAAGCCCTGAGTCCTCAGTTCAAAATTTCCTGCCAAGAGCATAGCACTGAATTTCAGTAAAATATTTCTGATTTGATATTAATTTGATTTTGTCACTACTTCCATGTGGTGAGCACGGGCTTTCCTGAATCTCTTGCTCGATTTCCTTTTAGTCCAATGGATTGCCCAGAACGGCTTCTCAAATCACGATCAGCTCCATCACTTTGTGCCATCTCTTCATCATACCTAAAATATAATAATTTTTTCAGTGTCTCAGTCTCAATCACTGGACAGCAGAGATCATAAGAATGACCTTTCCTTAGTTCTTTTTTGTTTAATATTTAACATTCACATTTTTTACAGTATGGATCCTATTCTATAAATATGCATCTTAAAATGAACTATTCATGTGGGGTGAAACGCCTCACATAAGTTATTCATGTGGGTAAGCGTTCACAGGATTGAACCCTATGACACTATAGTAAAATGAGCCCTATTATACTTCACTATTTATGAAAAACAGGCACATCATCATCCAGAGTTTCTATTAGAGCAGACACAAATAATTGTAGAGCTTGTGAAACTATTTGAGGCATGTACTTCTGCATTTCTTTTCTCATCACTTCGTCTAATAGACTTGTGCATAAATAGAAACATTAGCTTGCTGCTTATGCAGTACTGTCATAATCCAGCGTATCAAACACAGAAATAACTGGAACATCAGAAAAGCTGGATTGTGCCACGAGTTAATAGAATTAAGCAAGAAGGGTGGGCTGATTAGATATTCAAGATATATGATTCAATCTGAACACAATCTATCAACATCAGAAGTACCTATTAATTTAATATATTTTTGATAATATGTATTTTGTAAAGCTTGCCACAGTGACAAGTATCTCTTTAAATGTACAAACTCAATATGGCCTGAAATAATCCCACTATCCATTGATTTAACAGTTGCTGGAGGCATCCAAAGGCAGAATTTGACTCTAAATATATAAATGTCAATAATCAAAATAGAAAGATACAGCTACAATATTTTTCAGTCAAACAGGATTCCATCTGTACCTATTAACTAATACTAAATGCAGATCCTCAGTATTCATAGCTATCACGTAGCTAATGTTAATTATAAAGGTATGCTCCAATTTGCGAACACTTATGCATGTGACTAAATTTACTCACATGCATAAGTGTTTGCAGAATCGGGGCCTTAGATAAAATAGATGGCATGAATTAGTGGGTCAGCTAACATACTGTACTACAGTACTATTAATTTCTGACCAGGCTCTCAAACATTTAGCTTCTGAAACTGGTTCCAAATGGAATAGGGAAATTGATTACAAATTCAGCATTCCCCTAAATGCATAAGCCCATCTCATACATTAAAATAGGGATACTCTTTTTCTAACGTCCCCCTTCATCGCACGTTCATTATACCAGATTAAAAATAATCTTGCAATTCATGGTTTTAACATCCCATAAATGAATCACAACAGTTGGGTGACATAATTCCCATGATTTAAGAGAATTTTTAAAATTTTCTTGGTACATATAATACATTTAACTGTTACCCACGCCTTATACTCAGTCTACAATACATACTACATATCTATTGGATATATCTTTAAGAGTGAAATTCATTTCACCAACATATACCCTGAATAAATCAATGTTTTTGCAGGTGAAGTGCAGGGGCTCACCAGGAAGAGGACCATCAACCCACAACTAAGGCTCCAGGCAGGAGTGCAAACCCTTGGAAGCTGCTATTCCAGCCCTAAACACGGTAATTAAGTGATACAGAGCACTTTATGTTTTTCCTCCACACCTGGATGAATTTCATCACATCTACATGGTTCTAAATTAATATTCTCTCTCTCAAGAAGAACATATTCATATTTACATAGGACATTGCTAAAACTTACAAAATCTCATAATTTCCAAGAGCTTCTTTAGGTGGAGATTTATTCCATTTACAGTCTGGAATTTCACCATTAGGCACAGCAATGTTAAGTGTGTCATTAATAAGATTATATTTGAGGATACGATCATTGGCTGTACTGGAGGTAAGAGAAGGGGAAGCATTGACCTATTAAAAACAAAGACATTTTATTTTCAGCAACTTCCTTTTGACTAAAATATGATCCCATATAAACTAATCATCAGCATTTCAACATCGAGCCTTTTCTTTGAACAAAACCATTGCAAGGAAACAGTGCATTTCCTACAGATTTTATTTTTGAAGCATCAGCACCCTTAGGGTCTGACTGTAGATTTTTGTTGGGAGCAGGTTCATCTGTGCTAATCAAGCAGCCTCTGGGGATTTATACCTTTAGTTCACACCAAATAAAGAAGAGGCAAGTTTCTCACTCACTTTGCCCCTTCCTAGCAGTTGTTACATATGGACTGGTAGGGCTCTTTATTCTGAAGTTATTGCTTTTTACCTATATCCCTCCTCCGAACTCCCCATTTCCACACATTTCTCTGGCTGGCAAAGTGGGTAAGAAGTCTGACAGTTTTTTAAATGGATGCTTAACCAAGATAAGATGTAGGGGAAAATAATAGGGTAGTGATATATTAGACATGGGATTTGGACAGGAGTTAACATACCATGGAAGTTTGTATAATTCATATAATAAATGTATACAACCCTGCATTATTTCAAGCTTCTTCTTCTAATATGTATATCCCTTATTTTCTAGCTTTCCTACAATTTCAAGCTGTGTAATACATAGTATCTAAGCTTTAGCAGGGTTAAATTTACACTGCACTGAGCCAGTGCCAATCTTCCATCTACTGGTGCACTAGTAAGGTTGCTGGCATTCAGACAGCTCCTGGAGTCCAAGCACATCATGAATGCACCTGGTTTTGATTTTTGCTGACCAGACCAGAACACGGGTTTCTCCTGAATTCTGATATCCTGCAACTCCCACAGCCCATTTTGTTGCCTGTTTTACTTTCCAGCAGCCTTCCCCAACCACCTTCATCTGGAAAAGGGAAAACTAAAGCTCAGGTTTGAAAAAGCAGATGTATACTGTGAACGGAAATAGTGAGGAGGGTTGTTTATAAAATGTACATAACTTTACCTCAATAAGCCATGGTTTAAGCTTGTCATCGATGATAATATCGTATCCATAGCACTCAAAGCAGTGTTTATCATTGTTCATTACAGGCTGAAACAAGTTAAGAAGAAATGTATATTAAAGAAGAAAGATTTACAAAGTAACTTGAAAGATTATACATTACTATATTTCTCTACTATTATTTTTCTAGGTATCACGTACAAATATAATACCAATTGTCTATGGCAGTTTTCTTAGTTCAAGTTTTCTGCTCTGACTTCCCAATACAACATTAATATATTTAGGATTCATTTTTTATAAAAATGTCATCTTCTCAAGCTGTGTCTGAGTATTATCATACTAATCAGTGTATTAACAGAACATATTTGACTACAGCGTTTTCATTCAGTTTCACCTGTGTATCTTACAGCATCTGGTGAGTATGAAAACAAGAGTGTTAAAGGCTTTCATACCATACGTGAAATTAGAAATAATCTTACATTTTTATATATAAAAATACAAATTTACCTAATCATTAACGCTTTCACTTTCAAATTAAATGTGACTTATCCAAAGACACTTGTTTATTATAGTGTTGTAACAATGCAGCAAAGATGGAGTTCAACCCCAGTTACTGACTAGATCCTTATATTTAAAATACTTTATCTCTATATCATTATATTTAGCTCAAGTCCACTATGGCCATGAAAACTAAAACAGGTTAGGGACTGAATAATGCTGGGATGGAAATTCTCAAGAGATTCACTCGTTTTCCAGCATCAGCTAAGGTCTTAAAGTAGGAATGCCAGGGCACCTCTTCTCCTGTGCAACACTCACCAGATTATTTCAAGCAGTGGTTCTCAACCATGTGTATGCATACCCCTGGGGGTACGTCAACTTATCTAGATATTTGCCTAGTCTTATAACAGGCTACATAAAAAGTACTAGCAAAGTCAGTACAAGCTAAAATTTCATACAGACAATGACTTGTTTATACTGCACTATATACTATACACTGAAATGTAAGTACAATATTTATGTTCCAATTGATTTATTTGATAATTATATGGTGAAAATGAGAAAGTCAGCAATTTTTCAGTAAGAGTGTGCAGCAACGCTTTTGTATTTTTATGTCTGATTTTGTAAGCAAGCCGTTT